CCTGCTTCAGTCCTGCTTTAGTCCTGGTTTAGTCCTGGTTTAGACCTGCTTTAGTCCTGCTTTAGACCTGCTTTAGACTTGCTTTAGACCTACTTTAGTCCTGCTTTAGTCCTGCTTCAGTCCTGCTTTAGTCCTGCTTTAGACCTGCTTTAGACCTGATTGTCCTGCTTCAGTCCTGCTTTAGTCCTGGTTTAGTCCTGGTTTAGACCTGCTTTAGTCCTGCTTTAGACCTGCTTTAGACTTGCTTTAGACCTACTTTAGACCTGCTTTTGTCCTGCTTTAGTCCTTTTTTAGTCCTGCTTCAGTTCTGCTGTAGTCCTGCTTTAGACCTGCTTTAGTCCTCCTTTAGTCCTGCCGCAATCCTGCTTCAGTCCTGCTTTAGTCCTGCTTTAGTCCTCCTTTAGACCTGCTTTTGTCCTGCTTTAGTCATCTTTTAGTCCTGCTTCAGTTCTGCTGTAGTCCTGCTTTAGACCTGCTTTAGTCCTCCTTTAGTCCTGCTGCAGTCCTGCTTCAGTCCCGCTTAAGTCCTACTTTAGTCCTGCTTCAGTCCTGCTTCAGTCCCGCTTTAGTCCTACTTTAGTCCAGATTTAGTCCTGCTTTAGTCCTGCTGTAGACCGGGTCTGTTGTGTGCAGTGGATGTACCTCGGGGTGAGAGCGACCTCACAAAAGGCGGTTTGAGGAAAGCCAGAGCTAAATATAGTCCACCCTGTTCTGGACTCTTATCCACGCTGCAATGGAGCCCAGGCCCAGGATCAAGACACGCAGGAGGGAGAGGGAGGACTGGACTGGGACTTGACTGGGGCTGGACTGGGGCTGAACTGGGACTGAACTGGGAGGGCTGAGGACAGAGATAGAGAGAGCAGAGAGAGCATATGAAAAGAAAGGCCAGAGATAAACAAGAGAAGGACCAATGAGATAGACTGGAGGAACCAGAAAGACCAGAGAGAGACCAGAGAGGCCAGAGGGACCAGAGATAGACTGGAGTAGAGCTGCAACTAACGATTATTTTAATAATCGATTAATCTGTCGATAATTTCTTCGATTAATCGGATAAAAAAGCATTTTTAGTTTCCATCCCGTTATTAAAAACGTGGCCTTGGATCCACACAAAGAAACATACAAATGTATGCTATGCAGTATAAAGTAAAGTGCACAAAAACAGGTTTTGTTGTTTAACCCACAGAGAAATTACAGACAAGACGCGTTTGTGTGATTAAGTCATTTTTAGGGTAATTGTACATTGTTGAGTGCTAATACTCAAAAACGTTTGAAATTTTTATTTCAAAAGGCTGTAACTTAAAAGTGATAGGAGATAAAGACTTTCTGTAAATTACAGAATTATTAAGGATGGCCAAAAGTTGTATGTAGGGAATAAGTGTACCCATCTAATTAGCATATTATGACGTCATATGGCGTTGGAAATTGTGGATTTTAGAATTTTCATAAAATGTGTCTCCCCTGCTCTCTCTCATCTCCCCCGCTCTCTCTCATCTCCCCCGCTCTCTCTCATCTCCCCCGCTCTCTCTCTCTCGTCTCCCCCGCTCTTTCTCTCCTCTCCCCTGCCCTCTCTCTCATCTAACACCAGACAAAGTCTTCTCCAACACGTTACTGTCACGGTGATGGCGGGAGGCACAATAATACATTTGTGGGAGGCACTATTTTTTTTTTTTTTTTTTTTTTTTTATATGTTTTATTTATGGTTTTCATTTTTTTGAACAAACACAAAAAACAAAAAATAAACAAAAATAAAATAAAAATAAAAACCCTCTCTCAGCAAGACAATAAAATAAATAATCATAAAAAGAGACAAACAGTAATAGACACAGTTTTACATCTAGTCTGTGGTCATGTCAAGTTGAGTCAGCATATTCAAAAAAGGAGTCCAAGTCAGTTCAAAGTCGTCTAGTTTTCCTCGGATAGCATGCATAATTTTTTCTGGTGTGCAGTATGACAAAAGTTCGTTAGCCCAGTGCCTTTGGCTGGGGGGATTGATACTCTTCCAATCCTTCAGGATACACTTCTTGGCAGCTGTTGCAGCTAATAACACAAAATGTTTCTGATTTGAGTTCACCTTTAGTAAAGTTACATCTCCCAGCAACCAAATCCGAGGATCAGCATCCAGAGCCTGTCCACAAACTCGAGAGGTCACTGCGATGATGTGAGTCCAGTATGGCTTCAGATGGGTACAACTCCATAGCATGTGCACAAGGGTTCCAACAGAGATGGAGCATCTTTGACATTGATCAGAGATGTCGTTTCCTAATTTACTTAACCTATATGGTGTAAAATATGTTCTGTGGTAAATATTGAATTGAATTTGTCTGTGTTTAGTAGACACCAATTTCGTTTGTGCCAATTTCAATAATCTATTCCAATTATCCTCCGTATAAATACACCCAAGATCAGATTCCCATCTTGTTTTGTTTAAATATCTAGCATAAGCCGGTAAGTTGTCTATTATGATTTTATACACAGTAGATATTAAACCTTTAGTTCTCTTGCATTTGGGGTTTAAAATGCATTTTTCAAGTAAAGATTCCTCAGGTCTGTGTGGAAAAATAGCTTTAGTTTGACTCTTGATCCAGCTTCTAATTTGTAAATATTTGAAAAAGTTACGTTTATCTATATCATAAACTTCTAACATTTGACTAAAACTTAAAAAGACATTATTAGTATAAAGGTCACCAACAATTTTTACTCCTTTTCTCACCCAATTTTGTAAAATTCCATCCGCTAAGGCTGCTGGGATGTTAGGATTATTTGTGAGTGGTGAATTTACCAACAAATTTATGTTTTGTCCAACTGATATGTGTAATTGCTGCCAGGCATCAAATGTAGAGGAAATTATTGGGTTTTGAGTAATTGTTTTTAGTTTCTTTTTAGATTCCAAAAATGGAATGACTGTTAACGGAGTGTCCTGGATTTCATATTGTTCAATTGACAACCATTTTACTTCATCTGCTTTACAGTGAAACCACATCCATAGAGCGCGAAGCTGCGCAGCCAGATAATACAATCTGAAATTTGGGAGATTCAAGCCGCCTTTAGAATAAGGTGCCTGTAATGTGAGGAGTTTGACTCTGGGTAGTTTGTTGTGCCACAAGAAGGAAGTAAGTGATTTGTCCAATTCCTTGAAGAAGGATATAGGAACCTTCAGTGGTATACACTGGAATAGGTAAATAAATTTGGGTAATAGATTCATTTTTATTGTGTTAGTCCTGCCAATCAATGATAAGGGGAGGTCCATCCATCTCAGTAGATCTTTTTTAGATTTAGTAAGTAAAAAGGCGTAATTTTCCTCATATATTTTGTCACAAGAGCTACAGATAGTGATTCCCAAGTATTTGAAGCCCTCCGTACACCATTTAAAAGGAACCGGAAGTAGACTTATGTCGTGGTTTGTCATGTTGATTGGGAAGGCTTCACTTTTAGAGTAATTAATTTTGTATCCCGATACAGCACTGTAATTTTTTAGATTAGTCATTAGCGAGGGAAATGATGTGACAGGTTGAGATATAAATACTACCAAGTCATCTGCATAGAGTGCGAGTTTGTGCTCTTCCGTTCCAATGTTTATGCCGGTAATAGATATGTCTGATCGCAGGGCAATAGCCAGTGGCTCTATTGCAATTGAAAAAAGCGCGGGAGAGACAGGGCAGCCCTGACGACAGCCCCGAGATAAAGAGAAGGCATCCGACAGGACTCCATTTGTTAGTATCTGCGACCTAGGGGCGCCAAATAGGGTACGAATGAAACACAGAAAATTTTCACCAAAATTCATTGCCCTCATTGTCTCAAGAAGAAAGCTTGGTTCTATCCTATCAAACGCCTTCTCGGCATCCATTGAGACGATCACGGCGGGGTGGTCATGTTTTTTTGTGTGTTCTTGTGAGGCAGGTCGGCCGTGAGCGGGTTGGAGTGCAGTTAAAATAATCAAAACCACAAAGAGGTCGCCGTGGTCCACATATTTTACTTATTTTTTTGGCTTTTCAATAAAAATACAAACAAAAGTGCACACAGGCAATAAAGTGCAGGAGTGCCAATGGAGTGCTTCCTCTCCAGCAGCAGCGCCCAGACTGATGTTTCCCAGGTCCTTTTATTTGGTGCCGACTGCTGGGTAAAACCAAGTTGTAAAAGCAGGGGTGTTAAAATATGCTTAGCTTTAGTAAAACAACTTAAAACTCCATTTACAAAACCCAACCCATAACTCATCTAAAATACCCAGATACCATTTATACTAAAAGCCCTAAAACCAACACCAAGTAATATTAACATTTTAACTATTAAAATACCCCCTCCAACTCCCCCATACAAAATCCATGTGGTCCTGTGGCCCGGAACCATAAAAGGGGGAGCTCGTTCCTGGTGGGACCCTTTTGCCTACCGGACACAGAAAAAAGTAAGTACACACCACACACCCCACATATACATCTTCACCAAACCCATTTAAAATACACCAACACACACACACTTAAAACACTCTTCAACAGATATTGCACCTATCGCACATAATTTAGGGATTGGCTAAAATAAATGACTGTTTTCCTTTTTCCTCCAGGGTCCAGCTGCAGCCAATTACCTGCCAGCACCTCTGGATAAAAACATGGTAAAAAGGAAAGACCTGTTTAATAAATATTTTAAAACCAACTCTGTGCAATGTTCTTTTTGATGTGCAAATATGCTTAAAGTGCTGTGTGCTATAAAGGTGACTTGTGTATTTAAAGTGGCTCAGTGAAGGTGCACTAAGTAACAAAGTCAGTTTGTTACATTTCCCCCCTCCTCTCGAAGGCAAAGCCTATTCTTCTTCACGTCTAGACAGGAAATCAGCTACAATGTTTGTCTTGCCTGGCCTGTATTGGACCGTGAAGTTATAGGGTTGGAGGGCCAGGTACCATCCAGCGATGCGGGTATTTGCCTCTCTCATGCGGTGTAGCCACTGAAGTGCCCGGTGATCTGTTTCCAGGATGAAGTGCCTTCCAAGCAGGTAGTAGCGCAGGGAGTCAATCGCCCACTTCATCGCCAAACATTCCTTCTTCACTGCCGAGTAGCGAGTCTCCCGGTCCAGCAGCCGCCGACTCAGGAAGACAACAGGCCTTCGTTCCCCATCCTTCTCCTGGAGGAGGACTGCTCCTAGTCCCACCCCAGAAGCATCTGTTTGGAGGACAAAAGGCTTATCAAAATTAGGGCTTTGGAGGACTGGACGGGTGCAAATAGCCTCCTTCAGGTCAGAAAAGGCTTCTTCGCAAGCCTCAGTCCAGTGAACCTTGTTTGGGGCAGAGTTCTTTGTCAGGTCATTGAGGATAGCCGTTCTCTCCGCAAACTGGGGAATGAACTTCCTGTACCATCCAACCAGTCCTATGAACCCCCTGACCTTTCTTTTTGTCGTGGGCACCGGGAAGGATTGGATGGCCTCCATCTTCTGCACTTGAGGGGTAATCCGTCCATATCCAATGGTGTATCCTAGATACTCCACTTCCCTATGGGCCACTGCACACTTTTTGGGGTTGATGGTCAGTCCGGCAGCCTGGATTCTCTGCAGGACTTCCTGGAGGTGGCAGAGATGTTCCTCCCAGGATTCACTGTAGATCACCACATCATCTAAGTATGCGGCTGAAAATTTTGACACATCCCGGAGCACATGGTCCATCAGCCTTTGAAATGTGGCTGGGGCTCCCTGCAGTCCAAAGGGCATGACTCTGAACTGATAGAGGCCGAACGGTGTTTTGAAGGCCGTCAGCTCTCTTGCCTCTGGTGCCAGTGCCAACTGCCAGTAGCCTCTGGAAAGGTCCAGCGTGGTGATGTAGGCTGCTCTGCCCACGCGCTCCAGAAGTTCATCGATGCGGGGCATTGGGTAGGGGTCAAAGCTCGAGATGGCGTTCAGGTATCTGAAATCGATACAAAAACGCAGAGATCCATCCTTTTTTGGCACAAGTACAACAGGGCTACACCATTCACTATTTGACACTTCAATAATTCCCAGATCAAGCATGAGTTCAATTTCTTTCTTTAGCACTGGCACCAACCGCTCTGGGATCCTGTAGCTCCTCTGTCTCTTTGGAGCTTCCTGCTTGAGGTGGATCTGATGTTGGACCAGTGACGTAAAGCCAGGCGTCTCCTGGAACAGACCTGGGTTCAAGAAAGGTTTTTATCTCGTCCTGCTGAGGGGGAGAGAGGTGAGAAAGGTCAATGGCAGCTGGCTCTTTGGGAGGGACAGGGAAGAACTTTTCTGTAATCTCCTCATCTTTCACAGCACGCACCAAAAACTGCTGAGAAGGCTCCTGGCGGACAATGAATTCTTTCAGAAGATTAATGTGAAATTTCTGTTTCTTTTTAAGTCTCTCTGGCATAAACAGTTCGTATGTGACATTACTGATCCGTTTTGTTATTTCATAAGGTCCATGCCATTTAGCGAGCAGTTTGTTTTCACTGGTAGGTAAAAGTAACAGTACCTTTTGACCTGGTGTAAAGGCTCGGTCCCTTGCCTTCCGGTCGTACCAGGCTTTCTGGGAGGTTTGTGCTGCCTTGAGATTCTCTTGTGCCAGAGCTGCCATCGACTCAAGCCTCTCCCTCATCTTGAGTACGTAGGCTGCCACATTGTCTCCTTCAGGCTCTTTGCGCTCCCAGTGCTCTTTCAGCAAGTCCAGGGGTCCTCTCACCTGGCGTCCATACAGCAACTCGAAAGGTGAGAAGCCTGTCGACGATTGTGGGATCTCCCGGTAAGCAAAGAGCAGATATGGAAGCCACTGGTCCCAGTCCTTGCCTGTAGAGGAGACAAACTTGCGCAGCATAGATTTTAATGTCTGGTTGTATCGCTCCACCAAACCGTCCGTTTGGGGATGATACGGAGTGGTCCGAATTCCCTTTACCCCAAGCAACTGGTAAACCTGCGAGAGGAGCTTTGACAGGAAATTTGTGCCACAATCTGTGAGTATTTCTTTAGCTATTCCTACTCTTGAGAAGAGTTGCAAAAGACAGTTAGCAACTTGTTTAGCTTTAATTGCTTTGAGAGCAAAGGCCTCAGGGTAACGTGTGGCATAGTCTGATATGACCAAAATGTACCGGTTTCCTGCCGAGCTCCTTTCCAGGGGACCTACAATGTCCATACCTATTCTTTCAAAAGGAGTTTCAATGATCGGAAGTGGCTGGAGCTGGGCCTGAGCTACTCCTCTTTTTGAAGTTAGCTGGCAAATCTCACAGGAACTGCAAAATTTGGAAACTTGAGAAAACATTCCAGGCCATGCAAAGCGGTTGCCAATTCGTCTTAGTGTCTTTTGAAACGCCATGTGACCTGCCCATGGGACTGAATGACCCAGCTCCATCACTTTGATTCGAAATTGGTCAGGCAAGGCTAAAGCTTCACTCTTGTCTTTGATCTGGTAAAGTAAATCATTTTTTATTACATAGCTGACTTCATCTAACTGGCTACCTTTTCCTGTTTTCACTCCCTCCCGTTCTTCCACTTTGTCAAACCAGGGCTTTAGTGTAGAGTCCTCCTTTTGCAGAGCCCCAATGTCTGATGGGATGCAAAATTCCACCGGACTCAGGGGTTTAGAAAGCTCCTCTTTCTCTTTCTGTGAGCCAACAAACTTTTCCCTTCTCTTTTGGGCTCTGGGCTTTCTAGCTTTGCAAGGTTGAGCAAGCTCCTCGTCACAAAAAGGCAGCTCCTCACAAATTCCCCTGGCTATCTGAGCTCTGGTGAGAATGTTACAGGGTTTAGCAGGTTCTGGGGGGGATTGAAAGCAGGGGTTTGAAGCAATCACTGAACACATTTCTGAGTGCCCGCTATCTGCTTGAATAATCAGATCAGGGAGAGTCGGGATGTCGTTTCCTAGGATAACTGCGAAAGGCAAGTTTTTTAGCTAACGCCACATTAACCAAGTAAGTTTGCCCCCCCACCGTAAGATAAACCTCTCCTGTAGGGTAGTTGTGCTCGTCCCCATGGATACAGATGAGCCGAGCTTTTTCAGGTGACTGCCGCTCAAGCGGAACCAAAGAGGACCGTACTACAGTCTGAAAACACCCAGAATCTAACAGTGCCTCTGCACAGTGGCCATTCACAAGAACTGGGGTTGTGCGCCCCCTCCTCTGCTCTGTCTGAGCCGTTGCTGGCCTAGGTACAGAACACAGTAGGGATTGCTTGGTTTTAAGGACTGGGCAAAAGCGCTGACTGTGACCAGGCTCATTACAATTGTAGCACCTAAAATCTTGTGGTCTCAAGGGCTCTTTAACTGAACGTGACTGGTGCATCGGTGCATTTAGCCTACCGCTATTGGCTCTACTCTGGGAAGGACCACCCCCATCATCCCCAAAGGACTTACGTGGCATGAGCTGGCGAGGTTCTTGGGCGTAGGACGTGGGTCTGCTCCCTTTCCGTGCCGATGTGAAGACCTCGGCCAATCGTGCAGCTTCCTCTGCTGTGTTGGGATCGTGCTCCTTGATCCAGATCTCCAGCTCCGGACTGACCATACGTAGGAACTGTTCCAGGATTAGCTTCTCACACATCGCTTTGATTGTTGTCCTCTCCGGCTGAATCCATCTCATAAACAGCTCTTTCAGGCGGACATACAGCTCCTTGGGCGTCTCGTTCGGCTCGATCTTCAGGGATCTGAAGCGGCGGCGGTATGTTTCAGAAGTGATTTCATATTTTTCCAAGATGGCCTCCTTAACTTTTTCATAGTCCTCTGTGTCAATCATGTCCATCAAAACATAGGCTCTTCGGGCTTTGCCTGTTAGTAGTGGTACCAGGCGTAGAGCCCACTCTTCCTCTGGCCATCGGCACAACTGGGCCATTCTCTCAAACGTTGTGAGGAAGTGTTCAATGTCATCTTCAGGACCAAGTGGGAGAAGTTTTGGTTCCCGGTATGGTCTGTGGGGGTAACGAGGTATGTCGTCATCATCTTCATTTGATTGTGCCTCCAAGGTTCTTTGCCTTGTGTCCATCTCGACTTGAACAGACCGCGAGGTCGGTTCTGGATGTGCAGAACACTCTGTCTGCATCCGCATTAGCTGCTGCTGAAGTTCCTGGACTTGATCCTGCATAGCGTTCCAGCGTTGCTCCTGCCGGGTCCGTTCTTTCTCCACCATTTTGTCTCTAGTGTACTGGGATGACATCAAAGACTTCATCATCCCAGCTATTTCTTCCATCTTGTCTTGTGGACCACTTGCCTGTGCCCCTTGTAGGTCAGCCATTGTTGATCCAGGACAGTCGTCAGGCTCGTCAGGCGTTTTTCTTCCTCCTTGTCTTGTGTTCATTCTGTACCTTTAACTGCAGCGTGGGAAACACTTCTGACGCCAAATGTGAGGCAGGTCGGCCGTGAGCGGGTTGGAGTGCAGTTAAAATAATCAAAACCACAAAGAGGTCGCCGTGGTCCACATATTTTACTTATTTTTTTGGCTTTTCAATAAAAATACAAACAAAAGTGCACACAGGCAATAAAGTGCAGGAGTGCCAATGGAGTGCTTCCTCTCCAGCAGCAGCGCCCAGACTGATGTTTCCCAGGTCCTTTTATTTGGTGCCGACTGCTGGGTAAAACCAAGTTGTAAAAGCAGGGGTGTTAAAATATGCTTAGCTTTAGTAAAACAACTTAAAACTCCATTTACAAAACCCAACCCATAACTCATCTAAAATACCCAGATACCATTTATACTAAAAGCCCTAAAACCAACACCAAGTAATATTAACATTTTAACTATTAAAATACCCCCTCCAACTCCCCCATACAAAATCCATGTGGTCCTGTGGCCCGGAACCATAAAAGGGGGAGCTCGTTCCTGGTGGGACCCTTTTGCCTACCGGACACAGAAAAAAGTAAGTACACACCACACACCCCACATATACATCTTCACCAAACCCATTTAAAATACACCAACACACACACACTTAAAACACTCTTCAACAGATATTGCACCTATCGCACATAATTTAGGGATTGGCTAAAATAAATGACTGTTTTCCTTTTTCCTCCAGGGTCCAGCTGCAGCCAATTACCTGCCAGCACCTCTGGATAAAAACATGGTAAAAAGGAAAGACCTGTTTAATAAATATTTTAAAACCAACTCTGTGCAATGTTCTTTTTGATGTGCAAATATGCTTAAAGTGCTGTGTGCTATAAAGGTGACTTGTGTATTTAAAGTGGCTCAGTGAAGGTGCACTAAGTAACAAAGTCAGTTTGTTACAGTTCTATAACATGAAGTAGTCGCCGAACGTTATCTGCACCTTGTCTGTTCTTGACGAAACCCGTTTGGTCAGCGTTAATGATTTTGGGGACTACTTTCTCCAAGCGTTGAGCGATGATTTTTGATAAAATTTTATAATCAGAGTTAAGGAGACTGAGGGGTCTATAATTGCTGCACTTTTGTGGATCCTTTCCAGGTTTTGGAAGCAGCGTAATTGTTGCCAACTCCAGTGTTTTTGGAAGTGTTTCTTTTTGGAATGACTCTCTGATCATATTTGTTAGAGGTGTTAATAATTTTTCTGAGAAGGTTTTGTAGTATTCAATTGGATAACCATCAGGTCCTGGGGCTTTATTATTTTGTAAGGATTTGATGGCTTGGTGAACCTCTTGTTCTAAAATCGCTTCATCTAGTAGTTTCCTATCTGCAGCTGTTAGTTTAGGTATTGGTAATTTATTAAGGAAGGTTTTAATTTCTGTTTCCGTTGCCTGCTCTGTTTTATATAATGTTTCATAAAATGTTTTGAATTCCAAGTTTATGTCCTTAGAGTCTTCTAAATACTGGTTATCATCGGTTTTGATGCATTGTATAAATTTTTCTGCATCTTCTTGCTTTAGCTGCCAGGCAAGCAACTTACTAGTTTTGTTGCCAGACTCATAGTAATGATATTTTGTTCTTGCCATGGCTGCTTCAGCTTTGTTGGTGCAAAAATTATCATACAGAGTCCGTTTTTGTTTTAATGCACTAAAGGTTTCAGGATTTTTGGTTTGGGAATGTTGAGTTTCAAGTATTTTTATTTCACGTTCTAGTTGTGATAATTGATCTCTCTTCTGTTTGTTTTTATGGGATAAAAATGAAATAATGTGACCTCTCATATATGCCTTAAGGGTGTCCCACACAATTGAGTGAGAAGCAGTGTTTAAGTTAGTCTCCAAATATATGTCTAACTTGTCGTTCATAAATTTTATAAAATCAGGATCTTTAAGCAAGAATGTTTTAAATCTCCATCTATACGAGGTAGGTCCTTCCTGTGACATAGATACTTCCATCACTAGGGCATTGTGATCTGACAAGGTTGCAGCTAAATAACGGCATGTTTTAATGTGAGACAATAGTGTTTGTGAGATCAAAAACATGTCAATTCTAGAGTATGTATTGTGAACATTAGAGTAAAAGGAGAATTCTTTTCTACCCGGGTTTCGCGATCTCCATACATCCTTTAACCCAAGTTCACTCATGCCTTGACACAATGCTATTGCAGATTTTGACAGAATAGTGTTCTTGGGGGCTGAGCGATCCAATGACGGGTTCAACACAAGATTAAAATCTCCTCCCATAATACATTGACCCTCTACGGATGCAAGTTTCATGGTTAAGTTATTAAAGAAAATTGGATCATCTATATTAGGACCATATATTGATACCAGTGTCAACCTGTTCCTATTAATCATGCAGTCAACTAATATAAATCTACCTGAGGTATCCTTTTGTACAGCGTTTAATTGAAATCTGAGTTTTTTGTTTATGAGTAATGCTACACCTCTAGCACTTGATGAAAACGAGGAGTAATAGACGTTACCAATCCAGTCGCGTTTCAGTTTTGTATGCTCAATATCAGTGAGATGTGTTTCTTGGATGAATGCAATATCTGTCTCATGTTTTTTTAAATAAGTTATGATTTTTTTCCTTTTAATTGGATTATTAATTCCTTTGACATTTAGTGATATGCAGTTTAAATATCCTGTTTTAGCCATCACTCATTTTAAAACTATTAAGACAAAAATAAATAAATTTAAGAAAAAAAACAAAACATTAAATTAGGATGAGCAAGTGATATCTTTGTCAACATTAGTCTAACATTTATGTAGAGAGAGAGAGGGTGGGAGGCACTATTTGCAGAGATTTTACCGGAGACTAGCAGAGGCTGGAGTCGCAGCGCGGCGCCCCGACGTGACTTCCAGGCTTGTTCTCCGCAAATCTAACCTGTCTCCGAACCTCCCAATGACAGCCCTGACCCTGAGAAACACTGTTCCACTGACTCTGTGCAAAGTGTCTAAAGTTAGTGCGGTACAACACTCGCACGCTTCCTTCGCTTCACTATTCTGCACTGGTTCAACGCGGTCTTGTTCGAATTAACGCCTCCACCATAGACTGTATGACCACCTTCGCCACACTCTGCTCTTCTTCTGTGGAGTTTTACGGCAGTGTGCATGCAGTGTTGTGTAGTTTTGTGGCGCATGTGCGTCCGTCCGCTCAACCTTAGAACTACAAGAATGCGCACAACTCACGCGCTAGGTGACGTATTAATCGCGCGACACAACAAATCGATAACCAAATTTGTTGCCAACGCTTTTAATAATCAATTTATATCGATATTATCGATTCGTTGTTGCAGCCCTAGACCGGAGAAACCAGAGAGAGAGACCAGAGATAGACTAGACAGGAACCAGTGAGAGACTGGAGAAACCAGAGAGAGAGACCAGAGAGAGACCAAAGAGAAAGTAAATAGAGAGACCAGAGAGAGACCAGAGAGAGACCAGAGAGAGACCAGAGAGACGCCCTGCTTTAGACCTTCATTAGACCTACAGTACCTAGGTCATGGTTTTAACAGTTTTTAATATGTATCATTCGGGTGTATATTAAACACCAACTTATTTACTTGTACTTATACATGAATAGATGCCAGCTGGTTAAAAAAGGTGAAAAACATGACAAAGGTGCAGGATTTACTGTAGAACTCAGCATCAATGTGTCATCTCTAGTCTCAAACTCCCACTTGAGTTTGAAACATCATTAGAAACGCCAGCAAAAGAAGACAAAACAAGTGATAAAGTGCAGAATCAGCACCACGGACAGCTCCCATGCAGAACACTGGTACAGTCTGAACGGATGGACAAGGGCAATCTCCGTTATCGACCAGCTTTATCTGGCGCCCGCCCTGTTGGAATATTGAGCGCCCACGAACGAGCACCAATCACTGGGAGTTTAGAAGCGGAAAAACCCTGAATCTACAGGAACGAGTCGACACAACGCAAATGTGTTTGTTCAGTCGTGGAGAATCAGGAAAAGTCATTTAAATCAAAATCCACTGTTCAGGTACTCAAATAGGTCTCGCTCTGGTCTCTCTCTCCCTCTGGTCTCTCTCTGGTCTCTCTCTGATCTCTCTCTGGTTCCTCTCTGGTCTCTCTGGTTCCTCTCTGGTCTCTCTGGTCTCTCTCTCTCTCTCTTGCTCTCTGGTCTCTCTCTCTATCAGGTTTCTCTCTGGTCTCTCTCTCTCTCTCTCGCTCTCTGGTCTCTCTCTCTCTCGCACTCTGGTCTCTCTCTCTATCTGGTGTCTCTCTGGTCTGTCTCTCTCTCTTGCTCTCTGGTCTCTCTCGCTCTACATGATGCAATTGTCTGAAAAGAGTTTTGAAAAAGGACCATGAACCACACTGATGAGGAGCCCAGGTGCAGGTACTGCCAGTGTCTGATCCATGGTTGGTCTACAGCGAGACCAGGACCAGAGCACACCTGGTACCCTCTGTAATGAGATCACTGCCCAACAAGAAACCAGACGAGTGAGTGACCAGAGAGAGACATGACAGAGAAAGAACAGAGACCAGAGAGAGACAAGAGAGAGACCAGAGAGAGACAAGATAGAGACCAGAGAGAGACATGACAGAGAAAGAGCAGAGACCAGAAAGAGACCAGAGAGAGACCAGAGAGAGACCAGAGAGAGAGACCAGAGAGAGAGACCAAAGAGAGAGACCAGAGTGAGAAAGACCTGAGGGAGACCAGAGAGAGAGAACGGACACCAGGGACAGAGAAACCTGAGAGAGAGGTGGTCTCAAGAGTTTCTGTTCTGTCCTTTTGTATGAACTGTGCTATAAAAATAAACTTAACGTCACACAGCCCATCATACAGTATGATGGAGAGAAGAGAGGACGCAGTGATAGATGGGTGAGGGAAGAGGGGGAGGAGGAGGGGGAGGAGGAAGGAGGGGGAGGCGATTAGAGAGACTGATTTAGAGCGTCTGGTCGTGCTGTTGTCACGGCGCTGATTTGTGGAAGTGTGACGAGTCTGAAGAGTCTAAGGCCGGG